AAATAAAAGAAATAAGCTAAAAATAATTAAGTAAATATTATAAATTAATTAGTATAAAAGATGATATTGTAGAGATTTAATAATTAGAAAAGTAGCTGGAAGTTATGGAAAATGAACTAATCGCTTAAAAATAAAGTAACATATAATAGTAATAATAGTGAATTTAATTGTAAGCTAAAATCAATTTGAGTAAAGAATATAATAAATATGTGAAAATATTGTTTTTAATAATAATGATTAAAAATCTTAAGTTTTTAATGATGAATAAATTAAGAGAACAAATAAGTAATTAGTTGATTTAAATGAGAAAAAAGAATAAAACTCAATACTAAATGAAGGTTATAAAGAATTTAAAAGTAAACAGTAATTTGAAATAATTCAAGAATTAGAATAGAAAAATCATCAATTATAATAAGAATTATAAGAAAAGGAAGAATAAAAATTAAAAGAAATAGAAATAATTAAAGTTGAAATAGGATAAGGTCTCCATCATTTGCAAGAAAAGAATCAATAAATCGAATAGTAAACAGCAACTATTCAAGAATTAGAATAGAAAAATCATGCACTTTAAGAAGAACTGAAAGAAAGTGAATCATAAAAATTAAAAGAAATAGAAATAATTAAAGTTGAAATAGGATAAGGTCTCCATCATTTGCAAGAAAAAAATCAATAAATCGAATAGTAATCAGCAACTATACAAGAATTAGAACAGAAAAATCATGCACTTTAAGAAGAACTGAAACAAAATGAATCATAAAAATTAAAAGAAATAGAAATAATTAAAGTTGAAATCGAAAAAGGTCTCCATCATTTGCAAGAGAAAAATCAATAAATCGAATAGTAAACAGTAACTATTCAAGAATTAGAACAGAAAAATCATGCACTTTAAGAAGAACTGAAACAAAATGAATCATAAAAATTAAAAGAAATAGAAATAATTAAAGTTGAAATCGAAAAAGGTCTCCATCATTTGGAAGAAAAAAATCAATAAATCGAATAGTAAACAGCAACTATTCAAGAATTAGAACAGAAAAATCATGCACTTAAAGAAGAACTAAAGTAGAAAGAAGAATAAAAATTAAAGGAAATAGAAATAATTAAAGTTTAAATAGGATAAGGTCTCCATCATTTGCAAGAAAAGAATCAATAAATCGAATAGTAATCAGCAACTATTCAAGAATTAGAATAAAAAAATCATGCACTTTAAGAAGAACTGAAAGAAAATGAATCATAAAAATTAAAAGAAATAGAAATAATTAAAGTTGAAATAGGATAAGGTGTCCATCATTTGCAAGAAAAGAATCAATAAATCGAATAGTAATCAGCAATTATTGAAGAATTAGAACAGAAAAATCATGCACTTTAAGAAGAACTAAAGTAGAAAGAAGAATAAAAATTAAAAGAAATAGAAATAAATAAAGTTGAAATCGAAAAAGGTCTCCATCATTTGTAAGAAAAGAATCAATAAATCGAATAATAATCAGTAACTATTCAAGAATTAGAACAGAAAAATCATGCACTTTAAGAAGAACTGAAACAAAATGAATCATAAAAATTAAAAGAAATAGAAATAATTAAAGTTGAAATCGAAAAAGGTCTCCATCATTTGTAAGAAAAGAATCAATAAATCGAATAATAATCAGCAACTATTCAAGAATTAGAACAGAAAAATCATGCACTTTAAGAAGAACTGAAGCAAAAAGAAGAATAAAAATTAAAAGAAATAGAAATAATTAAAGTTGAAATAGGATAAGGTCTCCATCATTTGCAAGAAAAAAATCAATAAATCGAATAGTAATCAGCAACTATACAAGAATTAGAACAGAAAAATCATGCACTTAAAGAAGAACTAAAGTAGAAAGAAGAATAAAAATTAAAAGAAATAGAAATAATTAAAGTTTAAATAGGATAAGGTCTCCATCATTTGCAAGAAAAGAATCAATAAATCGAATAGTAATCAGCAACTATTCAAGAATTAGAATAAAAAAATCATGCGCTTTAAGAAGAACTGAAAGAAAATGAATAATAAAAATTAAAAGAAATAGAAATAATTAAAGTTGAAATAGGATAAGGTCTCCATCATTTGCAAGAAAAGAATCAA